GATCGACGAAACACTGTATGGTATTTTAAAAAATGAAAATGTAAATCGAGAGTTCGAGTGTGAATTTATCCATAATAATTTATTGTATTCGATTATTGGATTCCTGAAATACAATGAAACCACGTTACTTGAAGATAATGGTGAAGGAGTGTTGTGAACAGCTGTATAGTAACTGTACTGTAATTCAAAGTCTCTCTACAACTGTCTCAGTTGGAAATTCAAATTTTCATTTTTGAATTGAATTTTGTATTGATGTCTGTACTCAGAATAATTAAATATCTCACAAAAGCTGATTGAAAATATTTCATAGAAACCATCTTACATAAATATTGAGATATAGGAGGTACATAGAACTGTTTTCTTTATCGAATTTTTATGAATACCAAAGGATGAATTGCGAATTGTAGTTTTTAACAAAAGAACTTCGAAGTCAATTGTGTGCAGGGGCACCACTATGGCCATTACGTCGCCTTCGATTCTATGGTAATTGATGTAATAATGATTATCATTTCTTAATATCAATATATATTAATGATGAGTATCAATATTCTGAAAAGAAATAATCATTAATTGGCCTAAGCAAGAAAGAATGCAAAAATAGAATAAAATGTTTAAAGGTGGGGAATTTCGAGGTTCGTAACAAAAATATATTACCTATGTGATAATTTTCTTTATATAAAATCTCTACAAACACGAGATTGTCAAAAAAAGCAGATCTTGGAGCCTAAATGCCATTTCAAACGAATGTCTTCTTCAAATCCTGCATTTTTTATTAAGACGAATAATTGATAAAGTCTTAAAGTGGCTACAGTTTAAAGTAATGCCTCTGTCCCATTCGAATTTGAGTCTTTATTGATATTGAATATAAACTTAAATTCAAACAATGAACTTATGGTTCACACTTTATTTACTATGTAGCATCACTCGTTTCGTCGTTACAAACGACTTCTTCAGGTGCTCACACAATAATCTATTACCTTGAGATATACATTTGAAATATCTCTCTGATTGTACTGGATTTAGCAGTATTCTTTGATCCACGCTTTCATTCCTTGAATGGCCGCTCTACTTGCAGAACTGCTGGTGTTATCTGCCCTTAATTTGATGTATTTGGGGAACACTTCTTTCTTCAGACATGTTGTTAAAAACCATATATTTTGCGTGTTAATATCACTTTTAAGTAACAGCTTAAAGTACCATCGTGCCAAAAAGCTGTTATCAGCTTCTTTTAAATATTTAATAGTGTTGGCGTTTACTTGATGTTAATCCATTATAATTGAATATGAACTCAAATTCAAACCCTTGAACTTATAATTTACACTTTATTGACTACATAGCATTACTCGTTTCGTCGTTACAGACGACGAAACGAGTCATGCTATGTAGTCAATAAAGTGTAAATCATAAGTTCAAGTGTTTGAATTTAAGTTTATATTCAATTATAATGGATTTACATCAAGTAAACGCCAACACTATTGAATATTTTAATGATATACAATACAGTTTCTTGGAAACCGAAACATTTTATAATACTGAAAATGAAGTGAAAAATGGTTTCTCACTTCTGGTTTGTTTTCGAATGTTTTCAGAAAATGGGAAAATGGTATTCTTCTCTACCGAAGTCACTCAGTTGATACTCTTTATTGATATTAAAATAAACAGTGAAAATAGGGAAACTGAATATTCTTTCAAGATCTACATTTTAAAATTAGTTCGAAACGCAATTTTCATATATAGATCATCATATATTTTATATATTCAACATTTAATCTCTGGAAACACGCATAAATATCCATATTTTAATCGCTATGAAAATTCAATTCTGAGCTGAGATCTATGAGGGCAGTTATGATGCAACGGTCGGAAAACTATCGATTGAAATAACCAAAATGAATTTGGATTCGGAGGAAACCATTTCTTTTTTGAAGAAATTTCAATTTCGAAATATCTTGTAGTCACAAAATATTCACACTGCGCTGAATCTATTATTCATATTCTTCTCACTATCAATTGTTCCTGTTATTGCTGATGTATAAAGTAACTGTGCTGTTCGAAATGAGAATATTCTTATTATTATTTTTCACATAAATTGATATTTGATAGTTTTCTAATTTCAAGAAGAACCTTCTATAATTTTTGACATTTTGTTAGAATGAATAATTATTATGTCAAGAAGAACCTGAATCTAATGAGTTTTAACTGGTGAATAGTTTTGATGTTATTGTGTACCAAGATATCAAAATGTTGTATGAAAATGAAGGTATTCACTACAGATTCAAATACTGGAGGAGATTGAAGTTATTTGTCCATTTCCCATTCTTTACAAGTTTGAATCAATGACCATTATTATTTAATATAACGAGATATCAGACCTCTGTTTTATATTTATAGTAAAATAACATAAACCTACTGACAACTTGATATACATTGACAAATATCAAAATGAATCTGAGTGCTACTCTTTTCCACATAGTTTATTTAACATTCCTACTTCTGTCAGAAATGTCAATAACCCAGTAATTGGTAGCAATTATATTGGAATAGAGGATTGAAAAAAAGCTGATAGACTTCATAGTTTCGGAATTTGAGTATTTAGTACGTGCATTTCTCTTTGAATTATAGGAAAAAAATGTTACCATAGAGATTGATTCTATGTACTGACTGTATATTGATTCATTATTCTTATTTTAAGAATAATTGCGACATAAAACTCTGAAAATACTTGTTTTACTTACTGTAGTAATACTTGTAGGATATTAGTTTCGGAGCGATAAATACAAAAATTATTTTGTCTTTTCTATTTCATTTTTCATTCATCTGCTATGCTATTACTCTATATTGGAAAAATGGAAATATAAACCGATTATTCTCTTTGAAAATGAAAACAGTAGAATCTGCTCCACAAATACTTCAGTAGTTCTTATTCCAATCCTCAGCTAGATTTGAGTAAGACTTAATTGTTGCTTTCAATTTAGAGAGGAAAACTGCTTGACATTTTCGAAAGCAAAGAGATTATTCGTTCGAATTCTGAAAGTCAACGGACTATTGTAAGTGATTCAATTGGTTTCGAATACTCTCCATTTTCAGTATGATAAACAACCTCTTCGTCTTCTTCTCCTTTCTCTTTGAAAGAAAGAGTCATCTAGAAACATTGATGAATTATTTTGATATCCTGCAATTATTACCATCGGTTTCGTGTTCTCCTGAAATTGACAGTTTGATATTTCGAGGTGTATGTAAAAATTATTTTCTTTTCATGAAACCTTTGAATATAAAATTCAACAAAAGTATTCATAAAATAATTTCAATTTCGAACTCATTTCGAGTGGAATACGAAGCAGTTAGTAGTTGTGTAGAATTTTTTTGGTAAAGAAAATGAAGGTGCAATATCAGCAGTCCTGTTTGAATGCATGTTGTTAACGTGAAAATGTAAACAATTATTGAAATACGAAAAACGTTCAGAACTTTAATGAAGTTGAAATACTCCATTCAAATTGTGGGTCTGTGATCGGTCGTTTCATCCAGAATTTCACCTCACACATTCAAAAAGCTTTGAGCATGAGATCAGAATTTTATATGTACATGGAGTCAAATGTAGTAATTTCAATATTAATGCCGAGTTGGTACATACATATCAAAACTTCATTGACCTACTCGTATATACCATCCCATTATTCAGACTTTTACCTTATAAAGGCTGTTTTTTTTAGAGGTACTTTAGATTGCAATATATAGAGAACTTTGAATTGCAATAAAACAACGATGGATCATTCGATTGATAAGAATTTTTTTTATTCGAAAGATCATCTTGTGGCATTACATTTTAAATATGATTTCTGGCATATGACTGCCACGGCTGGCTCGGATATAGTCCAATATGGACGACAAATTTTTGATGATTTTTTCCAACATTTGTGGCCGTATATCGGCAATAACACTTCGAATTTTGTCTTCCAAATGGTCAATCGTTTGTGGCTCATCCGCATAGACCAATGACTTTACATAGTCACACAGAAAGTAGTCTAGCGTTGTTAAATCACAAGATCTCTGAGGCCAATTCACAGGTCCAAAACGTGAAATTAGGCGGTCATCAATCGTGTCTTTCAACAAACCGATTGTGGCACGAGCTGTGTGACATGTTGCGCCGTCTTGTTGAAACCACAGCTCCTGGACATCATGGTTGTTCAATTTAGGAATGAAAAATTTAGTATTCATGGTTCTATACCGATCACCATTGACTGTAACGTTCTGGCCATCATCATTTTTGAAGAAGTACGGACCAATGATTCCACCAGCCCATAAAGCGCACCAAACAGTCAGTTTTTCTGGATATAACGGTGTTTTGACATACATTTGAGGATTATCTTCACTCCAAATGCGGCAGTTTTGTTTGCTGACGTAGCCATTCAACCAGAAGTGCGCTTCATCGCCTAACAAAATTCGCTTATGAAAATCGGAAACAACGGCAATCTCGTTTTGGAATAAAATTGCAAGCGTTGTTCAGGCGTGAGTCTATTCATGATGAATTGCCAAACCAAACCGAGAATAAATCACTTCTCAGCTGTTGAATCGGTCGCCATCTTCAACAGTAATGCCAACTCAAACTTCGCTACCTTTTAAAAAACACCCGTTATTTAGTTTGGGCCATGTTATATAAGAAATATGAGACGAAATATGAGATAAATTCGAACATTTGCAATAATTAACAGTTTTCATCAAATCATATTTTGTAATAGTGAAAAAGTCGGTAACCCGAAGAAACACTTAAATTAATTATTCAATGAAAATGTAATCGAAAGTTCAAATGTTTGAGTTAATCTTTATTTTATTATTATAGATTTTCATCAAGTATATGCCAATACTATCCAACATACGATATATATGTCAATTGAATAACTTCTTTGTGAAATTCGAAATGAATTATCATCGAAAAATGAAGAAAAATTATTGAAAATTTTTTTATTCAACGAAATAAGAAAGCTACAATTTGTACCTAGCCAGCCTGTGTAGCTTTGTCGAGAAAACAACCGCCTATGAAGCGGTAGCACTCGGGTTCGAGCCACGGTGAAGACATGGTGTGTATGTTTATGGTTTTCAGTAATTTAATGATGATAATTGTTGGGTAATGTACACTGATAACAAGCCCATTGACCGATCGCAACCAGCGTTAAACTGCAGGTCAATTGATTTTGAAAAAAATATTGTGTGGGAAAGTAAATAAGGTATAATTCCTTTCATTTTTGCGTTCTGGTATTTACTGAGAATATCACTCAGAATTTATGAACTCTAAACAAAGTGTCATCTTGAAAACTGTATTTTATGCAAAGAGGGAGATTTACTTGAACATCGCCATTCAATTAAATTAGGTTTCGTACTGCCAATCGGCTTCTCGCGAAACAATTAGGAAAATAATGCTCGAAAGCATAAAAATATTTGAAATGATTCGCTGAATTACACCAAAATCATTTCCTAGATTGGACAGATTCTTTGTTCTATGGAATCTTGGTGATGAAGTTCCTAGGTTTTCTCATGGCGAAGACGATAATATACTTTTGAAGGGAATTCGGAGCTGAAATGTCGTCTGATATACACCTGATAGCTAAATTTGATAATGCATAATTCAAATAATGCATTTTTGTTAATTTGAAATAACGTGTCTCGACAACTTGGTCATAGACACTTGGTACAATTGTTGAAATTTCATGTAATAACAGACGTAATGCTACTAGACCAGGGTTGATAATTTTGAAAATAGTAAAAAGTGTGAAAAGAAAATAGTAGGATGAAACCCGTTAAAAAGGACGAAAATATGACAAAAATGAAAGGAAAAATAATGCACGGGCGATCTGTGGTCAGGAAGTGCAAGGGGGTGAGTATTTGAGGGTAAAAAACGGTATACCTCGATTTCCGGCATAACAACAAGTCCTATGGAAAGAAATTGAATGACAAAGTTGTAGTTTATAGAGACCTACAATTTTGTGATCACTCTTTTTTCACATAACCTCAACATTTATGTGAAAAATTCAAATAATCAGGTTTTTGATTTTTTATTTTTATCTTATGTAAAAAAAAATTTTTTCTCACAAAGTTTTGTGAAAAACTTCCTTCGTCTTAAAGACGTTGTAATTTTTTGGTTTCAAATATTGATTTCTTCACCTTATTTTGACTGAATGTCGAAAAAACACCCTGAATCTCAATCGAGAATTATCGCTTCAAAATATCAGCTTTTTGAAAGAAGCCGGGAAGTTTTTTTTTGTTGAAATTTTCTTGTTTGATAATGTAAAAAAGTATATACATTACCATGGTAAATTTTCTCAGAAAGTGCAAAGAAAGAACTCGAAAAAAAAAAAAAACTCGAAATTTTTTTAATCACTATGTACAATTTTGAGCTATGCAGTAGAACTCACACTTTGTAACATTGGCAAACAAAAAAATTACAAATCCATAAATCATACAGATTACAAGAAATGTAGGATTCAAAGGCGGAAATACAATTTTCGGATTCAAGTTTTTTTCTTTTCTTTGCATTTTCTGAGAACATTTACCACAGTAATGTATATATTTTTTACATTATTCAAAAAGAAGAGATTTCAACAAAAAAAAACTTACCGACTTTCTTCAAGAAGCTGATATTTTAATGCGAGAATTTTCGATTTAAAATTGAGGTGTTTTTTCGATAGTAAGTCGAAATAAGGTGCAAAAAAAAAATATTTCAAATCAAAAAAATAACAGTGTCTTTAGGACATAATGAGGAAAGTTATCACCAAATTCCGTAAAAAAGTTTTTTTGCATAAGATAGAAATTAAAAACCAAAAACTTGATTTTTTCAATTTTTCACATGAATTTGAGGCTATGTGAAAAAGTGTGATCACAAAAGTTGTAGGTCTCTTTAATACCTACAATTTTGTCATCAAATTTTTTTTCCATAGGATTTGTAGTTTTGCCAGAAATCGAGGCATTTACCGACCTCAGGTCGCCCGTAAATTATTTTTCCATTCATTTTTGTTATATTTCCGTCCTTTTTTAACGGTTTTCATCCTACTATTAGTTTTTTTTATTTCAAAAATTATCGACCCTGGTCGATACAGATACTTGAATATAATTAACAATATAATGAAATTAGATGAAACTGTATTATCTCCAGATGTGTAAACTACACAAGGTTGTATAATCCATATTTCCCTATAAATTTTAATGTAACCTCAATTTGGGTCGTTTTGCTCAGAATGTCTTTGATATTGTGTTTTAGTCCTAGTTAGTAACTCACTGCTTCATGTTTTGGACACAAAATGAGTATATGTTCAACTGTAAAAGGGATATTATCACATTCGCACTTTGCTTGTTCGCCTGATGTCATCAAATAACGGTGGGTCAGTTTCGTATGACGTATTCTTAGTCTCCTAGCTACTATTTTGTCTTGTCTGTTCAGGGCTAATCTTGTTTATTCGTGAATTTTCGGTTTAGTTTTGTGTAGCTTGCTGGTATCATTTTCGCATTGAATTTGCCATTCTTTAATGATTCTATTTTTATTGGTTGAATAAGATCTGCAAGAACCACAACGTTTTTAGCACCAAGATCAGAGGATTTTGCAAGGTTCGCAGATTGGTATCTGCTTCATTCCCTGGAATACCCACATGAGACGAAATCCAGATCATGATAGAAGAGATGTTCTTGTTGTTTTTCAGAGGGTGGTATCTTACTTGGATTTTTTGTAGAAAATAATTTTTCAAAAATAATGCATCTGTTTCTGTCATTCACAGACATTCGATGAAGCCTTATCACTAACGTTCTGATAAAGCTAAAATTCGAAATAAAACGTCAACTAAAACGAATTTTTGTTTGTTTTGAGGTCTAACAATCGCTAACAATCTTGAACCGACAAGAAATCTCACATATATATATATATATATATATATATATATATATATATATATATATATATATATGTGTGTGTGTGTTTATTCAATTCAACCCAAAATAAAGTTTTACAGTATTTCTCCAAGTATATACAATATATAAGTATAACAATATATGAAGATAATACAATATCTCCTTGAGCTAATTTATATTACACTGCATTGAAATGAAAAAAAAAAAAGCTATCGCCTCGAAGGTAAAGTTGTAATATAGTCACAACAGAACCTTGTGTGAGGGATGACAATCCGTGTCTAGTAGATTATCCATGCATATATGTACCCAAAATCAAAATATCCCCCGATATAAAAGAAAACCCATATTGGTAGATTAGAAGTTGACCTAAGAATTTTTGACATCCACAATCTGATGAATTTCTGCTCGTGGTCTAAGCAATATTGGTCTTCTCAATTTATTGACGAATGATTCATGTGTTTTAAGTTGTTTTATTTCATTAGGTATGGTATTATAAACTCTTGGAGCCAGAAACTGAAATGATCGTTGACCAATCGTCTTAGTCATCGGTGGATACTTCAACAATTTTCCCCTAATCCTTGTGTTATGATTGTGGATGTTTGAAGAAGCATTAGAAATATTTTGTCTTTGATATCTGCTTAGTGCCATATAATACAGTTGCCTAATATCCAGTAATTGGGATACCTTGTAGAGCTCGTCGGAAGGGCACTGATATGATTTGTTCCAAATTATTTTTATAACCCATTTATGTACTGTCTCTAGTTTCTTCAGGTGATTATTAGTTACACCCCCCATGCTACTATGCCATATGTTATGTGCGGAAATACGAGCGCAAAATAAACCATTCTTAAAGTATTCATGTCGCAGTACTGCTTGAGGGTTCGTATATATATATATATATATATATATATATATATATATATATATATATATATATATATATATATATATATATATATATATATATATATATATATATATATATATATATATATATATATATATATAGTATATGTGATGTCTCCATTATCCTACAAGGGATAAATGTTTGAGGAATATTGAAATCGATGCCATATATATATATATATATAATAAAATAAAAATAATTTAAGTTTTTCTTAAATATTTCATTCAGTGACATAAGCACAAAGAAACCTCAATTCCTTTTATATATATATATATATATATATATATATATATATATATATATATATATATATATATATATATATATATAAATATAACATAAGACAAATTTGTTCTCATTGATGAAATCCTTCATTCTAGCTCATCCTTCGCTTTCAAATTCTGAATAAATATAAATCACTATAAATACTTCAGATTCAGATTGTTGGGCAATTCAGAAAGTTTAGTGTTAATCGAGTTCGAAGCAATTCAAACTCATGCCAAATGTACTTGTGGTTTTACTCAGGTTGACAAATTTCTGTTTCCTTAGCGATGTGGTAATGTAGAGGCGCAATTTCCCAGCAAACCATTTTCATACATTTTCATTCAGGTCACAGATAAAAATTTATTTTTCTTGGAAAGAAGCTTTCAAGGTCTAGTTTCTTAATGTATTCGATTCGTGTCTTTTGATTAAATCAACTTATATATTTATTTATTGTATGTTAACAAGAGCACAATTCATTCACAAATAAACATCAAGGATTTTTATATAATCAATAGCAGCAATCATTGCCTTCAGGAAATCATCAAAAAGTCCGCTATATGCTCTATTGGGACAATCTCCAACAATGTGACGAGCGTCTCTTTGAGTTTACCACAGTCAAAAAAATTTGCAAAGTTAACTCTCCTCCAAATATCCAGGATAAATCTTCAGCGTTATCCTGGATAATGCTAAAGAGTTAACAAATCTGGTAGTCAGACAATCTTCGGATCTCCTGACTATAGCACATGATCACACAACTTATATAAAAAATTCAAGAGATTAGGTTAGTAGGATAATACATTAAAACTCAGGATATATATTTTCAATAATAAATTTTCAAAAATCTGAGATTATCATATTTGAATGAAGAATGCAGGAAGCTCTCAAGAATATCTTCAAAGCTCAATATCAATTTCGAATTATTAGAGATGATAATTATAAATTCAAAAGTCATAGTGCATAGACAGAATTCATCCGTTATAGAATATCATTTTATACATTCAATTTTCTCGTG